TTATCTTATTCACAGGATTTATTTTAAAACAACAAATCATGCATGTCATCAATAAGTCCTACCATATTGAAGACGCTCGTGTGTACAAATTGGGATTCTGTGTAATAGAACTAATTTGTTAAGTGAAATAAAAATGTGTTTACTGACTTGTGTTATGAGAGTGTTGTTAGCAACTGTAAACATGCTGGTTTGTGGAGTTTGAGGCTTCTGATTGGCGTGTAAGTAAACAAAATAATACCAAGAAAATCCTGCATGAGTTTATTCGTGGATTTGGCAGAGATGGTACCGGCAGCTTTAATCATCTAGTTATAATTTCTACTCCACAGATTATCTGTTGTTGCAAGTGTTTTAGATCTTCCTTAATATCACGGACTTGCCCTTGAAATGACATTTTCCCTTTGCATGTAATTCATTATTAGTATGGTCTGCTTCAGGATGTTAGCCAAAAGTACACAGTGTCAAGAAATGTTGGAAATGATGCACAAACAAACATAGATGACCTCAGTTAGATGTTGAAATACTGAAGTTGGTAAACGCTAGTCTTGTCATGCAGTATGCATGATAAGGTCCAAGTAAATTATTGCAAACAATGACATCTAAATTAATTAATGCCATCTTATTGAGCTCATGGCAAGTATGACTTGTTTGGAGCTGCAGGAGAAAAAGACCAACTTTCATCTGACTTCGAGAACAAAGACCTTAGAGCAGAAAAGATCAGCAAATCTCCAAAACATGCTAGTAAAACTTTTTTCCATGCCTCTTAACAATGTTCTAACTTAGTATAGCTATAAATATATTGTAGAGATTGAAATAAGTAAGTAGCCTTTATTGCAGGCTCACGGTCCAAAGAATACATAGAAAAAGATACAGAGGTGACATTAAAAAGAAAACAACAAACTCGTTAAAACAAGAACAGTATCCTACAAGAGACAATCATACCAGTGCTTCCACAGTTTAGAGGTGTAGCGTACAGCACTATATCTAGTATTAGTCAGAGTTAGGATGACACTGTTCTTGGACACATTAAGACGGCATATACATTTATACATAACATTTCTTAAAACAGCTTTCAATGTGCTGACCCTGACAGAACCAAACAATTCACTAGCACTAGTCCATCTGCGCTTTTTTACCAGAAGTCTTGGTGCATCGTTGTAAGCCACCTGCAGTCTCTGGATACTGGCTGTTTTATAGTTCCACCAAAAATGTGCTGTGTACAATGAGGTACAGTAATTTCTTAACAAGTTAAGTTTGACTTAAACAAAACAACATCCAAATTTACGACACAGTATTAACTTGTGTATGTAACATTTGGCACTGAATATAAATGTCCTCATCATCTGATAGGTCGTCTGTCAACACATGACCCAGATGTTTCACTTCATTTGAAACACTTAAAATAGAGCCGGATAACTTGAAGTCAGGAAATCTGATACATTTGTCCTCTTTAGTTCGACAGATCATGATTATACTTTTCGCAGGATTAAATTTGACATCCTGCCGTTCACCAAACTCAGAGCACACATTAAGAAGCTCCTGAAGACCAGCTGAACTTGGGCTAAATACCACTATGTCATCAGCATACATCAGATGATTTATTACTGTACCTCCTGCCATACAGCCGGTTCTACACAGGATTAACTGTTTAGAAAGATCGTTCATATGAAAATTAAACATGGTCGGTGCTAAAATGTTCCCTTGTCTTACTCCGTTACGTAAAAAAAAAGGTGTAGTTATCTCACATCTGATTAAAACCTTGGTCCAAAACCAATGATTGGACCCTCTGGTTGCCCGTCTCACCAGACCACCGCATGTCCGCATTGACCTGGGTCCTACACTCATTATGCACTTGTGCATTTCGCAACAGAACACCACTGGTGTGAGAGGTTTTCCACTCAATAATATCAGAGAAGGAGAAACAGCCATCTGCTACCACTTCAACTTCAGGACAAATCACCAGAGTCCAAAAAGATAAACAACATTTAAACTCGCAAAACGGTGACTGGTGTTCAGTGCTCTCTTGTCTTCTCTGGCAAACGTCGTTCCAGTATCAGGCGGACATGACCGTGGGATGATAGCCAATGACAGGGGTGAGAGTTTTGTGACTGTTTGTGTTTAAAAACTAGCTTGTTTTGTAGATTTGCCATTTAAACACAACATTTCAGACTCTTCCTATTACCTGTCCAGTAGAGCCAGCTCCCACCTCTCCATACACAGGCCAACAAAAAAACTGTTTATTCACACAGTTCAATTAGTCTGACTGACCATGGCACACATGTGTTATTAAAAATAAAAATTAGAATATGGTGGAAAGGTCCATTTATGTCAGTAATTCAACTTAGACTAAAGCCGGGCGTACACTGTGTGACTTTTTCACTTTTTTGAGCCGATTTTCCACTCGTGCGAGAATCCACGGGATCGGGGCGAGTTTTGCGCCGAGCGGTCGTGTAGTGTACAGGGGGTTACGAGAGGCGATTAACACCACGTGACCAGCTACCTATCAGCAATCGTGAGCTCGCATGGACTTCTGGCGTGTTTAATATTTTGCTCGTCCCTCGTGAGGGTATCGCACTGTTGAAGCGGCGCTGCGAGCGGCGCTGCGAGCGGCTGCGACCCAAAAAGTACCAGAACCGCTCACGGCGCATGCGCAATCCTGCATCAACACCGCTCGCCCGCTGTTTCCCTAATAACACACGTTGTTCGTTTTAATTTCTACACATTTTTTACTCACAAAGATTGTCAAGAAAGCGTGTTTGTCGTGTTCATGTCAAATTAAACTGATCACAAAACACAGATTTACTTTCTTTATTTCATTTTCCTCATCCAACCCCCATAAATCCCTGTGTGTCCTCCTGCAGCACTCCCGAAGGACAACAGGCAAGACAAGACAAAAAAGTCTGACGTGTTGAGTAAAAACTGCTATTTTTAGCATATTTTTAGGGCCGACGTGTTGCTACCAGACGTACAGTGTGAGCAGTCAGGTCGCATGCGAGAACTGGGTCGTGCAGTGTGAGCACATGACTCGTGAGATCTGCCCTGCGAGGAAGTCGTACAGTTAGAGCTGAAGCTGAGTGCTACGAGTGAAAAAGTCGCACAGTGTCCGCCCAGCTTAAGAAACCATTTAAAGGCTCTCCAGCTTAGTTTTGTTAGCTTTCTCAGTTGTACTCTTCATCTTAAGTCAAATTCTTGACCCTTTGTCCTTTCTTAGCTGGCCACTCCGAATTGCATCTGGTCCTGCGGGATCCCAATCCCATTGTGGGGCTCTAATGTCAAGTAAGGTGGTGGAGAGCTGATGTGTGCTTGTCAAATATTTACTTAGCAGTAAAGATGTACTTTTATGTGTATATGATTAAGTCTACCTTTTCTTTTTTATATCTTGTGGTTTTCATTTTTATCTGTTATGCCACTTGAGGGCCATCATTGCCAGTTTCAGTGTTTGCACATGCACCGAAGTCTTTCTCAGTCAAAGGTTAAGCCTTCCCTTTGGAAGTAAAGTTGAAGTAAACTGTAGTCATTCAACAAGAGAACGAGTCAGAAAACATCAATGTATCTATTATAAAATGGCTGAAAAATACAAAACAAGGTGTTTAAGCATCCATCGACAAAATTTCAACTCTACTCATTTGTTCCACCTTAAGACAACAAGTAGGCTGTCCATTATGTTGCTCATGCGAGGTAGTACTTTTTGAGTATTAGGACCTAGTGAGGCTCAGATTATTCTGTAAGAGCATCCGGATATGTATAGCCATAACACTGAAAGGCACCTGGATTGATCACATAACCCCTTTATTGCTTAATAATTCAGCATGCCTCTGGAGGACACGTTGACCGTGTTTATGGATGAGAGTCCCGCATGCGGTGACCTTTGTCCATCTCCTCTCCGAGCAGCATACTTGCATTATGCATGTGCATACTTTTACTGTGTGTTATTACTCTTTGTGTGATTCTGGGTTTTGTTAATGGTTCTTTAAATAGATGTGGAAGTCACATCAGCCATCTCATCCCCTGTGCTCTGAACACACACTCACACAAAGAGCAGCAGTGTGTATAGGGAATCATTAGCTAAAGTGATGCAAGTTTAGCTATCATGAATCAAAGTGGCATCATATCGACAAGCCAGAGCCAGCCAGGAATCCGAAATGTGTGTGCGTGCATGTGTGTAAGGATTACCAGTATTTTGAGCTGGCAGCAGGCCCGGGCTTCTACCTCTTTAACCCATTTTTCTCTATCCTCCTCCCTGCCACCAGGGTTTTCCCTAGTGATACCCCCCTGCAGGAAATTAAATTTGCTCTCTCCCCATTTCCATCTCTCCTGTCCGTTTTCTCCCCATCTTACTCACCGTCAGTGTCTTCTGGGTTTTAGGTGGCAGTCTGTGACAATCACATTACTTCTTCTCATTTTTTTTTTTGTTGTTTTAATCCTCACAAGTGGACAGAAAGCTCAGTCCAGCTAAAGGATTCAGTGCAGCTTTTGCATCTTGGTGCGGCAACAATTGCTTTGTAGTTTGCTTAATGAGAAACGTGCACAGTTCAGTCTTGTCCCTGCTTGGAAACTATTATGTGTGTGCTGTGAAAAGCTTCACAACATGCCTGGTATTTGTCTTACCCTCCCATAAATACTTCTATCTTCTAACCATTGCAGACCTCTTCATCATCCGTTCTGCCAGATCCCTCCCTCCCTGAGTAATATCTCACAGTGTGATATGCTTGCCATGACGGATGAAAGATGCGAACAGTGAAGCAAACTTCACATCCATCACAACCTTAACAATTGTATAGTTTAGTGCGTTGCTCTTTGTTTTTGCCTTTTTTCCCCCTTTTCTTTGCTCTCAGGAGTTTAGTCTTGTGTTTATGATCCTCATCCAGAGTCACTGCAGGTTTTTTCCCCCAATCGGACCAAAGCACTGAAATAGGATGGGCAAAAAAGGTGTACTTGTGCTGAATATTTGTGTAATTGCTGCTGAACTGAAAAAGTATTTATTAGTTTCTGCTTTCCCGCAGCTCCTTTATCTCCCGGGGATCTTGGCCCAACTCTGGGCCTGAAGAAGTCCAGCTCCTTGGAGAGCCTCCAGACAGCCATGTCAGAGGTCAATAAGAAAAACGAACTCCTCCCATTCCACCGACCTCACCCAAATATGGTCAGGGGAAGAGGCTGCAACGAGAGCTTCCGAGCAGCTATTGATAAATCCTACGATGGTCCAGCTGAAGAAGATGAAGGTGAGAAGTAGGAAGTATGGCTTACATTTTTGATTTTATTAAATTAAGTTGTAATAGTTCTAAAATAAAATAAAAATATATATAAATATATATATATATATATATATATAAATGTTTATGAAGTTTATTTGCACTCAATCCCTTTCACATAAAGAAAATTCAGCAGCATTATCGACATTTTCGGTACCTTCCAGAATGAGTCATTTCAAGGCTCAGTTGCAGGCCATGCCCAGCCTTTTTTGCTGCTATAAGCTGAGAAGCTCAGATATACAGAAGGGAGCAGCAGCTGTCTCTAGTTTAACACGTGAGAGGTGTTTTTTTTTCTACATTCCCTGTTTGTGACATCACAAATGGGGACTTTTTAAAACTGCTTGTTTTAGGCAAACAATTCCTAAAACCAAACACTGACAGAAAGTAGATGGACAGATTTTTTTCTGGTTTAGAGTGTTTATGGATACAATAGGAACCCACGCAGCAGCACACGAGGATGCAGAAAGTGAGATTTGCATCAAATTTCCCCTTTAATAAGTTGAGCACCATTCCCTCGGATAAACTATTTTTCACTTTACACTCAGTGCTCAAACTTCTCCAGCCTGACTGAGAACATACATTATCATTTTCAAATGAACAGATATTTATCTTTAAACTTAACATTTAATCACTCACATACATCTTCACTGCCTTTAGGTGGAATTTTTCTCACGCGGTGATTGATGCATTCCTCTGCTTACATGTATGTGCAAGGTGCTCCTTCATCTCACTTCCTCCAACAAAGTGTGACAAGAGTCTTGCGGCTGGCACATCGTGCTTCAAGACATCAACACATATCCAATTCCCTGCAGCGTTATTAGCAGCTAACTCTTATCATTCACCACCAGAGTAATGAGTCGGCCTGTTTCAGATCACTTCACTCACACAGGATAAGACTAATAGGGCATGTCAACACCACACATGCAGTGGCCACATCTGTCACCGTCCTCCTAATAGTCCAGCACTTTCAGAGATGCTGTTAATTGACAGAAAACACTTCTCTGAAGGGCACCGGGTGCCTTTCGTTGGTGACCTCTGTGTCTTTTGCACACTTTGCTGGAGTCATTCCATTGCCAGAGGAAAACAGTTTAAGAACATTTTTCGTTAAGCTGGATTTTTTCTTTCTTTGTCTTTGTTTGATAGAATGAATAAAAAAGCCAACAGATTGGGCATTTGGGGAAAACATCCACATATAAGCCTTGGCTAACAATATTTTGACTACGCTGATTGTCAGTGCTTTCTTTGTATAAAACAGCAAAAGCTGAGCTTTTCTGATTGTTTTTTAAATAAAAAAAAACAAGAAAATAACTCATAGTAGCTTTTATTGTGGTTTAAGATTTGTACAGATGGCATCATTAGTCATTGCAGCCATTCTGGCATATGAGGACCAACATGAAGAAGTGAATGTGCAGCAAATCAAAAATACACACAAACACTCACGTCAAGCGCGTTGACAGTCTGTGTAATTAAAGCTGAAGTCAATTTCTACACAAAATTAGATTGTGAACGAAATAACTCATTTGGATTGGTGATCTTTGCAAAACCTGATGAACAGTCAAAGTGTGAGAAAGACCATTGGAATGCAAAGCCAGACCTTCATTCTGCTAATGAATTTCTGCATTCCTTCTTTTGAGAGTTAATTAGTTCACTTTAAGGTTGATAAATATCTAGTCGAGGTGTAGAGTGAGGATTTCTGAAAAGAAAACTGTGTTTGTGTTAGTTTGAGAACTTTTCCATGAAGTGTCACAATGGGTTGTTTTTGATGTCTAAATTTCCATCATGTCTTTTTTATTTTTATTTTCTGATTTTAATGATGCAAATCAAAGTAAAAACCAACATCTTAGAGTTTTCTGTCAGATTCATTGTTCCTCCAGCCGCCTACTCTAATCCCCATCTTTGTCTTTCTTCTTTCGTTGCCCGTAGACGAAGGTTCAGAGCTGAGTTCAGGTTGTGACACTCCTGCAAGTAGTTCATCCCACCAGGGAGCTAATGATCAAACGGAGGAGAAAGGCCAAAAAGACAAGAAAAAGAAAGAGAAAAACAAGAAGAAAGAAAAAAACAAAGGGAAAGGGAACAGGAAGGAGAAAAAGAAAGCAGATGAGCTGGAGGAAACCGAAAAGAAGAGCAAAAAAAAAAGCTTTGGCCTTCTGAGGTGAGTAAAGGGATTTTTCCATTTGACAGCTTTTGCTGCATCAGCATTACAGTGGCATCAGAACAGCTCTAAACTGCACCTAAAGCCGGGCGTACACTGTGCGACTTTTTCACTCGTAGCACTCAGCTGCAGCTCAAACAGTACGACTTCGTCGCAGGGCAGATCTCACGAGTCATGCGCTCACACTGCACGACCCAGTTCTCGGACGCGACCTGACTGCTCACACTGTACGTCTGGTAGCAACACGTCGGCCCTAAAAATATGCTTAAAATAGCAGTTTTTACTCAACACGTCAGACTTTTTTTGTCTTGTTTTGCCTGTTGTCCTTCGGGAGTGCTGCAGGAGGACACACAGGGATTTATGGGGGTTGGATGAGGAAAACGAAATAAAGAAAGTAAATCTGTGTTTTGTGATCAGTTTAATTTGACACGAACACGACAAACACGCTTTCTTGACAATCTTTGTGAGTAAAAAACGTGTAGAAATTAAAACGAACAACGTGTGTTATTAGGGAAATAGCGAGCGAGCGGTGTTGATGCAGGATTGCACATGCGCCGTGAGCGGTTCTGGTACTTTTTGGGTCGCAGCTGCTCGCAGCGCTGCTTCAACAGTGCGATACCCTCACGAGGGACGAGCGAAATATTAAACACGCCAGAAGTCCGTGCGACCTCACGACTGCTGATCGGCAGCTGGTCACGTGGTGTTAATCGCCTCTCGTAACCCCCTGTACACTACACGACCGCTCGGCGCAAAACTCGCCCCGATCCCGTGGATTCTCGCACGAGTGGAAAATCGGCTCAAAAAAGTGAAAAAGTCACACAGTGTACGCCCGGCTTAAGTGGCCTTTCTTATACTTAAAGGAGCCAGATCATGCTATTTTAAATCTTGGTAAAAAAGCTCCCAAAGGATTTTCTAATTATATGGCCCCTTTAAAAACCTAAGCAGTTAGTAATCTCATTAAACCAACAACAATGGTTTACATTTAAAAAATAATTCTTAAAGAGCAAATTGCAGGTACAATTTTTTTCTAATTCATATAAAATGCTGTCCAAAAAAGACTATTTGAAATGCTTATTGTGGATATTTTGTTTTAAAATACATCACAGCCGTTTTTCTAGTAAAAATTACCTTTCTCAGCAAAGCTTCTAAAAAGGCTCTTTTTTAAAAATCTGAACCTCTGACGTAACTAAAGAGATAGAAGCTAGGCGCTACCTCAGCTCAGTGCAGAAGGTGGGTAGTTTTAGGGTACAGGGGTCATGTTATGGAATCAGTGTGTGTTTGTTTACTAGTTATGGATTGTGTTCATTTTGATAAACTCTAGTTTGTGAAGGCTGTACCAACTCCAGCATGTCTGGACATCGAGTCAACGGGTTTCCTGATAAGAGAAACAACGCCTCTATCTCCATGCCTGAAAGTGTTTTGTGCAGCTGAAAAGTCGGGTCTTCTGTAGTCAGCATTGGTCGGTACCGGGGCAGGGAGGTCCGCGCCAGGCTCCAGAGACTCGTGGTGGGGTTTCTGGATTTTAGGAACTCAGAACACCATCAGCACCTGGTCAGAACCGACCACCAGAAGAGATGTGCGGCTCAGCGAGCCAGTCTAACTGGCTTTCTGGGCCGGAACCAGATCAGAACCACTGCAGACCTCCAGGAAAGGATCATGCGCAGCTTTTAAAGATACTAGCTGGACTGGCTCGCTGGTTTCTGGGCCGGATCCAGCTCACAGAAGCCCGCATGAGCTCCAGAACTGTATCACAGGCTTCTCTCCCTCTCTCTAAGTACTGAACTACCTTACGTGAACAGATATTAATTATGAGACAGCTGACAGACGCTCATTAGTATTAATATTATAATAACTGACCGGTACTATTTAACTCATTCGCTGCCAGCGTTTCTCACAGTTTTTACTGTTTTTTTAAGAGTCACAGAACATTGCGTACCAGGATGATGTCAACGCCATAACAACCAAAACAAAGCAGAGACTCACCTCTTACATCAGGAAGAATCCACGCGTTTCGAGCTTTATCCGTTCTTTCATAATCCGCTGTTGAATTGTGATCGGCAGAAGCTTTTCCGGTTGGCTCCTCACTTTTTTTACAGCAGCGGCCGAAAACAATCTCCTAACACATGGATGTTGTGCTTCCTTATCACGTGACGTGTGACGTACGCAGATGAAGATCGGCTTTAGAGCTGAGATGTTTTTTCTCACTGGGCGGGGGCTAATTCCGCTGCCCATACAGTTAAAAAAAATGCAAATGACGTCTTTAGTCCTAATTGGCAATGAATGAGTTAATTGTCTGGTACACGATAGTAATCTGTACAATATTGTGATGTTAGCACATGAGTTTAAGCTAACATCGTTAACTCACAAGCTGCTCCCCCGCTGCTTCTCCTCACATCGCAGCACAATCTCTCTACTTTGGCTGATCGTTTCTCCCTCTGGTTTGTCTCTGCTCTCTGTGACGTGCAGCAGACTCATAACTTTATGGTTCTGGTCCATCATAAGTAGAATTATCAACATTTAAAGTTTCCTATGTGTCAGAGCCGGTGTTAGAATTTATATTTTTCTCTGGATTAAGCTAACAGGACTCCCTCAGCTGATGTCAGTTGGTTTGTCAAAAAAAAAAAAAAAAATTTACATTTTTCTCACAAAAATGACTCTAAAAGTCTAAATAATTTATGTATGTGTAAAAAATGTTTCGAACGAGTTTCTATTATGTTTCTCTAAACATTGGTTAATGGGAGTCTCTAACTTGCTATTTGCTCTTTAACGTACAGATTCTGTTTGCGCTGCTCTGTACGAGTCAGTAACGTGTTTGTAACTTTTAGTCCTTGCATCTGTTTTGGACGTATCTCATACTTTAAAACTTTACTTTTCTGGGCTTCGTTTTACTCTCTTCAGCAGGATTTTCTTTAAGCTGAGTGAAACTGCTAGCTATTTCTGTGAAAGTCCTATTCAGTCTTCCATACACAAATGTGTGCAGTTTTGTTTTCCACACACCTCCTTCTTCTGAATTTCTGCAGACAAACATGAAAACTGCTCTCTTTTACATTGTCAAACCTTATCATACCCTTCTAGGAACAAACCACTCTCAGTGGCACCACATATCCTTTAAGAGGTGGTGCAAATAATCTCCCAGAGCGATTTTGTGTGATTAGCACTATGATCCAGTGTGAATGCAGCCGTCGTAGAACCGCTGCATGAATGAGCCAGAGAGTTTCAATGAACACTTTGCGCTTTCTACTTTTATTGCTACCTCCAAACATATTTTTCCTCCTTTGCCGCTGTTTTGAAGTGGGTTTTCACATGACCATTACAAAGATACTGATCTGAAAACATTCGAACGTGATTTGATCTACAGACTATAGCTGCAGCCTTTTAAAAGAGACTTACAGAAGAAATCTGTTTGAACCAAAACTCAGAAACACTTCCAGATTTCAAAGTCTTGCTTTATCATGATGATAATATCTCAAAATTGCAGGTTGGTGAAAGTGAAATTGTTAACAATTACACTAATGCACTCAGATTAGTGCTTAATTGGCTAAGTTGAATAACCTTTTTATTCATGAGTTGATACCTTTTTAGATTTCACGTTTTTTCTTATGTTTATTCTAACACGCTCTCTTTTTCTAATGCCTACACTATTCAGTAGTTCAGAAGGGAATTAGTAGTGGAAAGCAGATTTAAAATGTTTTCTTAAAGAAGGTAATACGTTGATTTTGGATCTGTGTAACTTACTAATGTGGGCACCCTCCCACATTAGCTTGAAATAAAATTATACCTTTTTAAAATTTCTATCCCTTAAACCTAGTTGATCTCACCAAATAAATTAATGTTTCTGCAAATCAGCAGGAATATGATACTATTTATTTTGACTGCTCTTAACAAATTGTGAAACTAGAAAAATTTGAATATGGTGTAAGAATTCATTTGTGTCAGTAATTCTACTCAAATGTGAAATTAATATGAGACAGAGTCATTGCATTCAAAGCCAGATATTTCAGCCTTTATTTGTTATATTTGTGATGATTATGGCATTCAGCTTATGAAAATCCCAATGTCAAAATCTCAGATAATTAGTTTATTGTGAAAAGTTTCATTATTCTAAACTCAGTGTCACACTTTATTCAGCTAATGAATCCAGAACACCTGCAAATGATTCCCGAACCTTAATGGGCCATTCCCATCTGTACCGGGTCGGCCCGGGCCGGGTAGCCCCAGTCGGCCCCAGCCTGGCCCGGTTGATTCCACACATCCTTGCCTTAAGCCCCATGTGGGCTGATTCTGCCCACCAATCAGAGGCTTGCTCTAATGGAAGGTGTGAATTTGCTGTCAGCAGTGGGTGTGTTGGCCCTGGTCGGCCTGAAGCAGACCCCCTCGAGAAGAGGGCTGAGAATGAGCCTTGGTTGGCCCGGAAAAATTCCAGGCCACCCAGATATGTAAACAACCTACGCTACCCGGCCCGGGCCGACCCGGTACAGATGGGAATGGCCCATTAGAGGGTCTCTCAGTCTAAGTTGGATGACTAAATGGACTTTTGCACCATATTCTAATTGTTTTTGTTTCTTCTGTAGCTAAATGTTCAAATTTAATTTGAAGTAGTCTGTCTTTCTCCTCTTCAAACATTTACTTCATTTTTTATTATTTTTCCAGTACGTGACCACACTAATACTCTTTTTTCTTGTTGTTGTTGTTTTTGTTGTTGTTATTGTTACTATCAAAGATAGAGCAAAAATGTAGCAAAAATGTAACTTATGGTGCAGCAGTTATTTATAAATTAGAGATCACATGCACAATGCTGCCAAATCATGACTTAGCATTTCTGTTCGTGTGTTTTTACAATGTTAAATTAGTCTTTCTGAAGTCTTACAGAAGCAGCTTTAAATGACATATTTATATGCACTGGACTTAACAGAAATTAGCTTTTTATATTCATTTAAAAGCAAATTTGTTATTAAATGCTGTAAATAGTCAAATCATCACTTCCAAAGAAGGAAATAAGG